TGCCCGATGTAGAAGTCTGGACTGACGGTTCAGCTAAGCAGGGTACTGCGTATGGAGGAAGTGGAATACTGATCAAGACCGGTGATACCGAACTCGACCAACGTGTACCTGCGGGCCGGTATTGTTCCAGCTACAGGGCCGAGCTTGTAGCTCTCGACACCAGTGGCAGTGGGTGGACCAAGATTTGGGTGGGGCATGGGTTTTTTTCCACTTCTTTACCACCAAAAAGGAAGCAATAAGAACAAAACAGTGATGATTTTTCTATACTCATGGCAAACCACAGCATTTTGAGAACCATTCAAACGAGAGAAGAGTCACCTTTATCTACCATCTCTTTGTTCTTAGTTAAATTTAAGCTCTTCTGGATGGTGGAGACGAAGACGTTTCACCTCCAAATTTCTCTAATTAGTTTTTATCTGAAGAAAAAGTTGCCCCAAAAGTGGTTTGATGTAATTAATAGCTGTTAAATCTCAGCGGCTCAAACACACAGCACTCCAAACACCTACCGTCTATTACATGGATTGGGTCGTGTTGTTGCGGAAAATAAAAGCGCCTAACAAAGGCCCAATGGGCGCATAGGTATCTGTGTCACTGGGGGAAGTGTGTCGTAAACTTTCACCCCATTGTCAGGGCTGGGAGAGCGTGAGCCCGCTGTACAGTGTAATTTTTTTAAAGTTTTCACCTTTTTTTCAAGAAGAGTTTCATTAAAGACGGGCGTGGGAACCGGCTTATTCTTTCTGAGCCCTAACGACATTTGATTGGCTGTTAGGTTACTATAGTTGTAAGCGGTGACAACAATGATTGGATAAACGGGCAAGCCGCAAGCTGATAACTGTGTGTTCACTGTGTGCGAGCCTTTGCGATCACAACGGTTTCAACTGTTTATTTCGTTATTTAAGAAACTTTCATTAACTAAGGGGTAGAGTTAGGGTGGGGACGGGGTGGGGGTGAGGGGCTCAAGCCCGTAAGCCCATCACTACCCACCGCCACTGCTCGACACAGCGCTTGACATGCTTGTGGCACTACATACAGCAGGCAGCCTTCCGAACAGTGCACACATCCATGTATACACTGATTCTAGGTCAGCAGTCATGCGCCTCTCATACGGCCCTACCAACCAATCGGAAAAGGTGGCCTGCTCAATCTGGCAACATCTGCACACCCTCTGTCAATGCTCTGAATGTTACAGTGGATTCCAGGCCATGCTGGACTGGCTGGGAACGAGGAAGTTGACAGTATCGCCAAAGAAGCAACACAGCCAATCGATTTCTTAAAGCCGTCATCCACCAATCGACCTGCGCAAAGTGGAAGAGAGAGGTGAAACCCAAACTGCCGTTTGCCCAGCCGCCGTCATACCACTTTCTTGAGGCCTCGCTCAGACGACAGGACCGCCGGCTTCTCTCCCAAATGAGAACTGGTGGAAAATCGCCCAAGTTGAGATCATATCTCCACAAAATTGCGCCAGCGGACAACCCAGATCCGTCCTGTCGAGCCTGCAAGGAGGACGAAACTATGGACCATGTATTCCTGAGATGTCCCGCAAGCTATCTTGCTAGAACCCGTCTGCTGGGACATTTCAGTAACCCACTTTCAGCACTTTTTAAGGACCCCTGGGCGAGTGTTGAGTTCCTGCGTGCTGTCCGCATCGCTGACCGTTTATGAAGCCACAGCGCCCGAAGAGAGAGAGAGAGAGAGGGAAAGAGACAGAGACAGGGAGAGAGAAGAGGGGACGAGTAGATCTTGCGAGAACTTCCGGGCAAAACAAAATGGCGACCCCCGTAGTTCGGCTCGATTCTAAAACTAAAAGTGAAAATAGCCTTTAAGCATCTTTGTAAGTCGATAAAATTAGCTTACTTTTATTGTGCTATAACTAGATCTATAACGTACGTAATCTTTTCTTTGCCTTTATCCATTTGAGATCATGATCCACATCGATAGAAAGTATTCCGAAAGGAAGTGGCTATTCTCATCCGGGGTGAGAATAGAAAAGCGATCTACCTCTCACCCCGGGTGAGACTTGCCAGCGTAGGCTATTCTCACCCAGAGCGAAACAAGACCTGCTTTTCCTCATTTTGGAATACTATCTATCGGTGTGGATGATCAAATTGATAAAAAAGCCAAGAAAAAATTATGTTATAGCACAAAAGTAAGCTAATTTGATCGTCTTCAAAGATGCATATACTGTTCAAATCGAGCCGAACTACGCGGGTCGCCATTTCGTTTTTCCCGGAAGTTCTCGCAAGATCTACTCCTCCACTCTCTCTCTTTGTGTGTCTCTTTCCGCTGTCTATCGGTGTGGACGATCAAATTGACCAAAACAAAGTTAAAAAATGATGTTAAAACACAAAAGTAAATTAATTTGGTTGTCTACAAAGATGCTACGGCTATTTAACTTTTCGAATCGAGCCGAACTACACGGGTCGCCATTTTGTTTTGACCGGAAGTTCTCGCGCTACTCCTCTCTCTCTCTCTTTCTCTCTGGACACTGCCCACAGACAAAATGTTGAAAATTGTACGCTTATATTAGGCTACAGTTGTAATGGAATGTTTGTTCACGGCACAGAATTCTACAATTTTTCTGTTATCACAGTGTAGAATTCTGTGGTTTAGGGTGAACGCAAAATTTGTTGGCCTAGATCTCTAGATCTAGGCTATATAAACGGTGAACGCGCACCGGGTGAGAATAGCCAAAAGACTGGCCTGCACTATTCTCACCCCGGGTGAGAATAGAGGTGGCCATTCCGAAATTAGGAAAAGAAAGTGGCTATTCTCACCTGCCCGGAAGTTCTCGCAAGATCAACTCCTCCCCTCTTCTCTCTCTCTCTGTCTCTTTCTGAATACTGTCTATCGGTGTGGACGATCAAATTGACCAAAACAAAGTTTTTAAATGATGTTAAAACAGTAAATTAATTAGGTTGTCTACAACGATGCTACGGCTATTTAACTTTTCGAATCGAGCCGAACTACGCAGGTCGCCATTTTATTTTGCCCGGAAATTCTCGCGCTACTCCTCTCTCTCTTTCTCTCTCTCTCTCCACTGCCCACAGACAAAATTGTACGCTTTTAGTAGGCTACAGTTGTAATGGAACGTTTGTTCACGGCACAGAATTCTACAATTTTTCTGTTATCACAGTGTAGAATTCTGTGGTTTAGGGTTGAACGCAAAATTTGGTGAACGCGCACCGGGTGAGAATAGCCACAAGACTCGCCTGCATTATTCTCACTCCGGGTGAGAATAGAGGTGGCCTTAGGCCTTAGAAAAAACAGGTCTTATTTGACACCGGGTGAGAATAGCCTACAGTGGCAAGTCTTACCCGGGGGTGAGAGGTCGATCGTATTTCTATTCTCACGCCACTTCCATTAATAATAGTATAGTACTTAGAAGGTGCATCCCAACAATAGATTCTAGATCTACACTGACACTAGACTCTAGATCTAGAAAGCCTACTTCTGACAGCTTCAGTCGTCGTTAGGCCTAAGATATAGATCTTCTATATATAGATCTAGATCTAGATCTGGACTATCTAGATCTAGATCTAGACTAGATCTAGATTCTAGATTAGATCTACTCAACGTATGACCCACTGTCGACAGTGACAATATTCTGCTTGGTGGGCTAGATCTAGGCCAAGAATTAGTCACTTTCTACTTACCCTGGCCTTCAGGAGTTTATTCTTAAGTCTCCAAATCTCAACGGTTGGCGATGAACATTGAAAATAAATATGGTATCAATGGTCGCAAGCCAACAAACATCCGATAGTGTCTAATCAATTCCTCTTCAGACGTGATTAAGTACTTCAAACAGGGGGGTGTAATGGTATGATCCTTATCCACTGACTTTATCCTTATCGTCACAACATAGGCTAAAGGGTAGGAATAAAAACAGAACTGGCTCAGTTCCCACTTCCGCTATAGATGTACCGGAAGCGTCATAATCCGCTACTAGATCTAACAAAAATAAGTGCTCGACTTTTGTCGAAACTCCTGCTCCCTGAATCTTTCTAACTCAAACCCGTCTATCTCATTCATCTTCATTTCTTGTTTCATCCAATCAGCACACCTTGGAAATATTGAGGAATATGTATTTGGCATCCGTCTTTTCAATCTTGTATTCCTTAAATGGAAAGTAGTACGATACTTTATGGTAAAGATCTTGTAAGGTGCGTCTTTGATGTAGGCCAATAGTATTGAAGTCGAAAAATAATATTCTTTGACAACCTATTATGTGTGTGTAATATTTTAAAAATATAGATAGATATCGGCCTATGTATTATAACAACAGACATACATGAATATGCTGCCAAGGAGGTTATGGATAGATTTTATTATAACAACAGGCATACATGAATATGCTGCCAAGGAGGTTATGGATAGATTTTATCAAATTCTAAGATCCTTGCCATGTGGACCGTCCATATCACGCTCTCATGCCTGATATTGCTTCCATTTATCCAATCGTCCAGCACAACATAAACAACATCCCAATTATCATGTAGCCAACTTATTCTGGACTGTATCACATCATCACTTTTGTTTACAAAAGGGGGGGGGAGCTCTGCTGTTGTTGTAGGTAGGCTATATGATATATCATCAAATGTTAGTTCTTATGCAATACCGACAAGGGATAGGCCTATGATATTGAGAGTAATAGCTAGTAAATCCTGTAGTTTGGGATATTCGAGGAGCAGATGTTGGACTGTTTCGTAGACGAGGTCACAAAAGTTGTTTTTTTTAATTGGTTAAATTTAGGGGTGTGCGTGAAGTACTCAAACATTTAACCTCTGTGAGTAGATCTACTAACTCTTGTAGGTTTTTAACACTCACACTTGCCCTTGTCCAAAATATCCGAGTACTTGGGTAATAACTCGAGGGTATATTTTACCCCCCCCCCCCCCCCTCAACCACCCACCCACGAGAGGTGGCTAATTATAGGTCAAGAAGTAGCGATGATTTCGCAGTATCCCGAGACAGACACATGCACACAGAGAGAGAGAGAGAGAGAGAGAGAGAGAGAGAGAGAGAGAGAGAGAGAGAGAGAGAGAGAGAGAGAGAGAGAGAGAGACGAAACAAACAAATACTGTATGATTTAAGCATTGAGATTTGCACCCACATGTGCTCCTTTCAGCTGCTGTGATTTTTTAAAAATCTCGTACAAGTGTATCTTCCCATTTCTTTTTGTTGTTATTTTACCAATCATTCGCTTCTCACACTTTGTTTGTCTGTTTTTGGTCTTTTGTCTTTCTCTCACCCGGCATCTTTTGCGAATCCATAACTAAGGCAAGACGAGCGTTATTTAATGTTGGCAAATATGAGGGAAACAAAGAAGGGTTGGGTGGTAAAATTTAGTTTAGATATCAACAATAGATTTAGATTATATCAGCTAACATGCATGTAACACAACACGGTACTTCATGGGGACTCCCGTGGCCACAGGTTAAGGTGTCCGGGTATATCGACGGAAACATTTTCTTCTCTAAAATTGTCTTCTTTCACCTCCTTCCCTGCTCTCTAGCAATATTCTGTTGTCCGCTTTCACCTCCACTTATTCTGCCCCCACCCCCTCACCTCCTTTGCCCCCTCCTCTGGGCTATTGACTCTTTCTCAAGCCTTCCCACTGCTTCTCGTTGGCTCCTTCTTACTGCTGTCTGTCAGCCACACCCCTGATCTTCGGGTACCATAGGAAAGATCTACACCAAGTAAAGCTGGATCCTGCTCGCCAAATCTGAGAGTGGCAATTCACAATTCAGTCGGCTTCAATGAATCGTGAGTACGCGAGCGATCGTGGAACATTAAGTCTCGGGCTCGTTGTATGCGTGAAACAGAACAGTGTCATTATTATTATCAACGCCACTTCGCGAGTCCCACTATTGTTGCCCTGCCATCCTCTCCCCCCCCCCCCCCCCCTCACCGTCCTTCGTTGCGCTGCTCTACTGACCTCAATTAGCGACCGCCATAAATTCACCTCCCCTCCCCTCCCCCCATGATTCGCTAAACTAAAACAATGGCTCCATAAAATTCCTTCTGTCTAATATATTGGTTGGAACCTGTTCATTTTGTTTTAATAAAGGGGTTGGACTGTGCCATCTTTTGTAAGATAAGGGGGGGGGGGGGGGGCATACTAAGTGTTCCGTTCCGTTCTTGCGCTCGTGAATCGACTCGCGACCCAGCAGTAGGTTACAAACAAGCCACAAGGTGGTGACAGCGGGAATCGGAAGGCGATACTGTTCCGCGTTCCGCTGAAGTGAATCGCATTCCGCAGGGAAGAGTGACGATTCAGTTCCGTTCTCGCGCTCACGACCCAACTTTAACACCAAGCCTTCTCGGATAAGGGCGAAAAATCTCGGAGATCCCGTGTGCAAGGTGCGCACGTTGAATATCCCTTGGTGGTCCAAATTTCAAACGAGTAGGCTTCGACCGCCATCCGGGCAAAATTCAAAATATCCTACCAACTGAAAATGTTAGGTGTGTCCCGCGCACTCATGACCTTATGCAGTTGCGATCGCCGTAAAACGCTTACGAAAAAAAAAAATGTCGTTGTTTGTTCCCTTCTCTTCAGTTCTGTTCACCTTGCTCTTGACACTCATGTGATTGCAAACTGGTTGGACCGTTTGTCCACCGGCTCATTCATTCCTGTCTGCAGTTTTCCTTCTCGATGATTTGTATTGTTTTGAGTGGTTATAGTAGGCCTACATGATGTATTGGCTTGGTATGTTATGCTGGCCGCGGGTTGACCTTTTGGTGCCTTTCTGCTTTGACATTGCAATGACTGCTTGTGTGTCCCGGGATCCAGTGTTACTCAAGCCTAATAACAAAGAGGAGAACTGCTGGTCCAGTGGACGGACTTGTTGATGTGGTGGGAACTTACTGGCCTACTGGGTGCTCAAACTACTCTAATTAGAGGAGGTTCTCGTTGTCCAGAGCTCACGGGGTTCGCCTCTCATTCAATAGGTCCCGGGTTCGAATCCGGACAGCGACGGCAAATTTTCTACTCTAAACTTTTGTCCTTTCACCCCCTTTCCTGCTCTCTAAGGCTGCAAACACACTTGCTTCACGTTCCCTACGTTTTCAACTCTCCGTTTTGGGGAGAAACATCCTAACATCCCTATGACAACAAAACTCAAAATGATCAACACCATGTTCATCCCAACACTCACTTATCAATGCCAAACAAGGACCACGAACTAGACATTAAAGCAAAGATTTACATGTGAAATGCGGTGCCTTAGAAAAGCAATCAAGACCAGGCGCTAAAAGATTAGAAACTCTGTAATCCGAGAAATGGTGGGCACAAATGATGTCATGCATCACATCCAACACCAAAGAATCAAATGGTTCGGACGTCCCCTACGATTACATGTACCAACACACCATCCAGCACAACGTGGTGCCTACATATAAAAATCCGATGGCAACAAGGCTAGAGGGTGACCGAGAAAGACCTGGATAGATGGAGTCAGGGAAACATTAACCACCCACGGCATCCCCTTGACCCAAACTCTCCGGCTGGCGACAGAGAGACGTCTCTTTCTTCCCGCGACACCCAAAAGGGTATAAGCAGCGGATAAAAGTAAAAATAAAAGTAATTTTTGGGGAGGGAAAATTGGAGTTGATTACACCAACGTACTAACTTCACATTCCTTTCTCCCTTGTGATTTAAAAAACAAAACAAAACAAAACAGCTATGAAACTTTAATTTTTACTTTCCACTCCAACTTCTTTAGCAATGTTGACGTAATTTCTGCTTGAGTTATTGTCTTGTAATGTATCAAAAAGTGCAGGTCTCTTTTACACCGCTGTAATAAGTGCTGTTCATGTTCTGAATCAAATGTCTCAATATACACTAAATCTATTAGAGCCTACGAAAAGAAAGTCAAAACATGTAGGTCGAGGTCAGCGTGTTTACAATAAATTTTTAAAAAAATTGTATATACCTCGAAAATGGGCCTAAAGTGAAAAGTTCGCGTGTTAGACAGTAATTTTCATCGCAGAATCCAAATCTGAAGTAAAAAATACAATTTAATGCAATTTTGATTAAAACGAATGTCAGCTTTCTACGTCCTGGCAGTGGTATTTTTAGAATTTCCGCCCCTAGACCACAGAATGACGATTTGCAAAGAGCAATTTTACTGCAGCGGTAAAATCAAAATCGTGAAGGGCAGGCCGTGAAAGTGTGGGGATTGTGATGTGAAGTCACTTTGTGCTGTTGAGGCCATACGTGTCCCCTGATGGGACAGTCGATAAGGCCTGTTTTTTTGCCGGGGGAAAGAAATGAATCAGTCGGCTTGTTTCCGTCTTGTGTGTCCACACACTTCGGAAAAGACACGTCTAGTCTGTTGGGCTACTTATTCCCCGAATGTGTACGCTAAACCGCCGCTGTCGTCAACGATACTCCACTATCTTGGTAGTGGTAGTAGTGGAGTATCTTTAAAATTGCAGTCGTGGCGGGCTGTGTTCTCGGTAAGGGGCTATTAATAGTCAAGAGGTCACATGGTGAACCCAAAGGACCTTACTAACCTCCTTGGTTTTAACGGAAAATTGGTAAAATTGTTAAATGCATTCAAACCATGTTAATTGCGCGAACACTTTGATAATTTTAAGGGGCTGATTACGTATATGACATTTAGACTTTTAATCCGAACTCAAAATTATATATATATATTTTTTAGCTCCGGCGGGGACTGTGGCTGATGAGTCACCACCCGGCCGGACTAAAATGCAGCAAGCGGCCTTCCAACCGACACGTCTTTTGTCGGGACGTGTCGTGTCGTGTCGTGTCTGTTGGCACAGCCAAATGGAATTTTCACTGATTTCTTATAAGAAAAAAAAAACGGTGCTCCATTTCAACTACAGAGTTTCCGAGAGACGGCGTAATCGGGTTGGTTGGTTTCTGTCCCAGTGGACACGAGCCCTAATTTT